AATATTAACCGAGCTTGCTCGGGACCGTACTAGAAGAATATCGGCCCTCGGTCTTTTTGTACGGACCTCGCTGTGCTCGGTCCGTACTGTCAAGACCTCGGGCCGATATTCTCCCAGTACAGCCCTCGCGCTTGGTTAATAAGATATATATATTAATTTTCCTCTTCTGTTTACATTGTTTTGATTTTCTTTGATTACTATGATCCCTTAGCAATTAGCAAAAAAATAAAATGGTAGCTTAATAGCTTGCTTGTCAAACTTTTGCAGCGCCTCATCCACAGAATGAGATTGTGTTACCTTTATTAAGTCTCAATAAAAAGTCCTGAAAATCACCCTGTGGCTTACGCATGTCACTTAATTGGTGGAGATGTTCTTAAATTTTTATTAGATAGTGGAAAGATGTTTGGTACACAAAAGTTGTTTTACAAATTTGTTTGAGGCACAATTTTAATGTCTTGTTATGACTGCTTTGAAGGTGTTTTTCATTTATTATTTGTTGATATTGTTCTTGTGTTTTTGCTAGGCATTGTTGGGAAGAAGAAATGATAAACCAAAAGACAGGTACTCAAGGTTAGATCAAGAAATTGAGAACTCAAATCAAGCTTTTATTATGGACCAACAGCAACAACAGGAGGTAATAGAGAGTGCACAATATTATTAATGGAGTTTGTTTTGATCATGACAATGTAATCTTATTGCAATTGCTGTAAGGGTCAAATGAATGTTTGAGAGCTTCTGTGAAAGGCTACACTGTACAGATAAGATACAATTGAAAATTAATGATTTATCTAATGGACAGGTACATCTAGGTTAGAATTATCCTGAGATGGCTTGTCTGTGACAGTGAATGACATTTTGGGATCACTAGAGGAAGTTTGTAGAAAGATGGGTCATTATTACTTCTGGGTTCAATCTACTAATTAATTTCAATAAGTAATGAGTTCAAAGCAATAGGTACTTCATTCTTTTCATTTCAATTAAGTGAATGATTGGAGCTCAAGATGGGAAAGTATCTGATAATTGATTCCATTGAGTTTATTTACTAAGTTAAATATTAAGTAAATATTTTATTTTTTTCATTTTCATGAAGTTAATGATAAGAGCTCAAGATGAGCAGCTTGACATGGTTGGGCACAGTGTTGGAGTTTTAAAAAACATGGGAAAGAAGATTGGTGATGAAATTGAAGATCAAAATTTGTAAGTTTTGTCCTATTAACTTCTTAGTTTTGAGCAACTTTTAAAAGCAAACAATCTGGTGTTACCTTGATTTTACCTCACTTTAACTGCATGATTGTTCTGGATAACTTTTGTCACCCTCCAAACCAATCAATAGCGAAGCAAAAACCAATCGGCTCTTGGTGGTTGGCATTTCCTGCGGCAGTCTGCTTAATTATAGCTTGAGCTCTGATTGGCACCTTGTTTGTAACTGATCTAGTAATTGGCTCAGAGTTTTTGTGTCGAAAAAATTTTTTGCATATTCTGAAATAATCGTTTTTAATCTTATCTTACATCCCCAATGTCTAATGCTGTTTCTCTTTTTTAGGCTCTTAGATGATTTTGGACACGAATTAGAAATGACAGACTCCAAACTACAACAAACTGTTCTTAAAGTGGAAAAAGTTTTAAGATTATCAGATGGTAAGCAACATTCACCAACTTGTTAAAATGGCATTTGTCATTTGGAGTAGTAAAGCAGGTCATATATTTTTTGCTATCAAAAGCAAAAATGACCACAATCCCATCTTCATGTCATGTAATTTCCTACTCCTTTCTATAATTGCACCACCCTCAACATACTGGCAGAGACTGTGTCACTGGCATTCACTTTATTTCCTCCACACATTAAAAGTTGTTAGTGTCCCATGGGATCATTTGGACTATTGTCTGAACAACAGAGAACAGCTCACCCCTTTAGATGTTTGACAGAAAATTCCAACCAACAACATCCTAATGGTTCCTTTGTGTGTACCGAATTTGGACTTGATTTAAAACTCTCTGATGCCAGCTTAAATAGCTTGAAAATTTTTACCACAATCCTCGACTGTGAATGTTCAACCAAGGGACCATGAGAGGGGATAGAGTCAATTTTTTTATTTTACTGGTTCCACATGCACTGGAACAATCCATGACAAAATTTGTCAACCCATGACCTTCATGCAGACACTTTTAAGAAAGTTTGAATAAGTTTTAAGATGACTTGAATTACCCTTTTTACCCATTTAATATTGTAACATTGTGGAAAGCAATGGGTAGCATTGTTCAGGGGGAGATTGGATATCAGACTAGTACTCTGTGTTAGATTAATGTAATCTCAATGATAGTGTTTTCACAATTTTTTCCTTAATTGATTCATTGACTATTCAGAGTATTTTTGCCCCTTGTGGAAAGAATGTTATTCTAATTTTGTGGCTGGAAAATGTGTAGCCTGCATGCCCTGCATGTGATGAACAGGAAGAGGGGAAAAGGAAAGATCATTGAGATCTGGGATTTTTGTGTTGTTCTGGTGGACTCAACAAGAAAATGTTGTGTCCTTGCAGGCATTCCCTTAGGGATTTTTACAGTCACACTCAACCTTCAAATTTGAGCCCCCATAAAAGTGTGAATGCTGACCATGTAGACTACAATACTTCCAGTTTTCCTTATCACATAGAGTCAGGTCATTTTGGTGATTTCTTAGCCTTTACTTTTTGTATGATTGTTTGGTTGCAGATAAGAGGCAAACCTGTGTACTGGTAGCTCTAATTGTGATTATGATAGTGGTGATCATTTTATTTGTTGCGTTATAAGGACTGTGACAAAGATGCAGGAAAAAATGTAGAATTTGGACTTTTAGTTTTCTGGAGTTTATAGGAGAAAGGCTGTAACATGCTTAAGGGCTGGCATACAGCAGTATGTTACATTTGTTTTTTGATGTGTATCCTGTTGTTTTAGTTTGTTCTTTGTTAAATTTTATCTTTCTTTGTTTCTGTATGTGCTCAAGTATAATAGTGAGCACAAAAAGATGGAAATATGTACATTACTTATTTATCAGAATGATGTATGAGTTATATATTAAATATTGAATAGATATTTTTTATCATTTTGCATAATCTTTGGCAATGATTGGTTTTTCACTGTTTCAAACTCTTACACTCACTTTCTTGCAGTGTTCTAGTGTTATTCTGACATGTTATTGGAACCCAGAATCCTGAAAAGCGATATCACCCAGAGGGTCTCTGTAATGACAATTTTTCTTTAGTTTTCAGACAAAACTGTGAAATAATTGTTTACTATGATGGAATAAAATCAAAGGTGGAGTAAATGAACTAATTATAAGTAAAGATGGTGGAGGAGGGGAGGAGGCGATAAACAGAAATTGAATTGATGAAATCAAGCTGTCAAGGACACTTTGGGAATTCAGTGGTGCTCCTAAAACTTGTCAATTTGAGAAGAAATGTGTCAGAAAGAGATCTCAAAAAATTGCATACGCATTATTTTTTCCCTTACAAAATTATTTTAGGGCTGGTAGGGTGAGATAAAATCTCTTGCCTCTTTTGTAACAAGGTATCTCCAATTGAACGGAATTATCAAAATTATGGCTATACAACACTAAAATAAAGTTATCGTCTGTTACACTAAAAAGACAAGGATGAATTTAGACAGTTAACCTTCTATTCTCTTTCTTTAGTAAAAGTGCTTGAAAATGAAGGTTAAAATAAGTATATGACCAAGGAAATAATAAGGTGTTTGATTTGTATTTTTTCCCCTTTATGTAATAAAACAATTATGTATTTATCTTTTTGATTTCTTGATCTCTGCGAGTCTTATACTTAGGCTGTTATTGATCACCTGAGATGAAACTTTTTTTTAAGGTAGCTTCAGGGTGGAGTTTAAAAATAGTTTAACGACTTGCTTGCAAGAAAATATGAACTTCTGATTCTATTTTAAAGGTTCAAAACGAGTTTGTTATTTTTGAGCACCAAACTCTTGATGGGTTAATACTACCGTCAATTTTATTCGTTTCTTTGAAAATGGCGTTGAACAGATGTCCAGTTATTGTCTCACAAGTTGTAAGGCACCACATCCTCTCAGAGCACCCTTTTATTTGGCTAAGTGTGCCTGTGATTCAGAAACAAGTTTGGTGATACTCGATTTTTATTATAAAATTGGAGTCAATCAAGATTCACCTAATTATCTTCAAAGTGTCAGACAAATCTTAAGAGCTGGTTCAGAGCCACCCCAGATAAAGAAAAAAATTAACTGCCTTTGAACATCCAGTAAACATTTTTCTTGAAACTATACAGGAGGATGAATTTTGAAAAGCGGATGGCAATTCAGTTGTGAAAATTGGGGTTCACTGAACTTGTACTTCAGTTAAAGGCGTACAAAGCGAGATATCACGGTATTTTTTTAGGTGAAGTACTGTTGTTATTAATAGCAACATTTTGCGTTGAGGAAAAGACCTTTTAAAAGTTGATTTATGATGACTGGTGCCAACATCGGAGCATCAAATAAAGAGTTGTGGTTGTATCAATCCATTAATGAATAGTTGGTGCAAAAAAATGGAAATCCTTCTGACCTTTATTTAAATGTGAGTGCTAAAGGATGGGTCAAATTGCTAACTCACTCATAAAGACGCCCTTATTCCGTATCTAATAAGTTATGAATCGCAAATTTTTAGTGTAAGTCACTATTTGCGTAGAACGCTTTGCCGCGTGAGCTCATGCAATCTCGAGCACGTTCACGTGTGTTAACTTTAGAAAATAAGCAGATTCCTCGATCGAGATAGAAGTAGTACAGTTGATCGAAAACAGTTTGTTTTGCTCTTACACCGTAGCGAGGAATGATGATGCCTTTTAAGATAGGTAATTACGAACAGAAATAGTACCTTGTTTCATTAACCACCAATTCCTTTTTCCACTTTTTAATTTACCTTAGTTCCGCCAATCTGCGCGAACATCATTTGGCTGTGTTAAAAGTTTTAGGCTATTAAACTTGTACGGGGCTTTGTAAACCCTGTTTTGTGTTGTGGGCTATACGCATTGGACTACAGATTTAGAAGATCGATTTTTAAAATTTAACATAAGTTGTGGTTTTTTCATTTGAGAAAGCATTTTTTTCGCGTCGTATATTGATATGTTTGTCACTTTGAGTGGCAGAGAACAGTTGAATTACTCCCTATACATCATATTTTTTTTATTTTAAGCCGCCGATTTTTGATGACAAACTGTTTTTTCGCTAGCAGCAAGAGTTTGAGTTTGCGTGCGAGTAAGTATGTGTTTTTTTGGTTACTTAATTAATTAACATCTTTCGGTGTCTTATTCTGACCTTTTCCTCGCATTTACGTTTCAGGAATGTGTTTTCCTTTTAACTCCTGAAAAAGAAAAAGGAAAAAAAAAGAAAAGAAACGATTAGTCAAACTGACTGAGGGTCGAATAATTTTTCCTTCTCTGGTAGCATATGAGTCTCTTCTTCTCACGCATTCGTTTTTTTCTTCGCGTTTTATTTTGGTTTGTCTTTTGTTAGCTGTTACACTGTAATCACGGAGAGAATATGGTGTGCTTTAAATAAAATAAATTTGTGTTAACTCCGACTAGCCGGGGAAAACGAGTTTTAAAATGTAGTTTGAGTGAGCAGATATTTTTGATGTTCCTGACGTGCACTTTTATGGAGCAAATCATCTTAAAAGATAACCGGTAATGGAGGGAGTGGATCCACTTGTAATTTCCACCTATTGTGAGCAGTCGATTGTATAAATCTCACATTCGTTAATGTTTGATACTTTCTCGTCGAATTCTTTCCCTTTCTAGTGCAACCATAAGGAAGGAAAAAGTGAAACGTGACGGTAAAAATTTTTGATACATAAAATTTCTGCGAGGAAATGAAATTAACGTCACGGGCGTAAACATGTGAATAGCACACACAAAAGGAACGTGACGGGAAAGATTTCATGCCGACCATATGTTTTGTTGTGTAGGCGGTATTGGAACAGAGCACAACAGAGTGAACATTCAAAACAATCCGGGTTTCATTGATGTTTGTGCTAAGAACGGTATTGAACAATTCAGTTGATATCGCGTTGGATTTCGCTGAGAGAATGCACTTAGTGGAGTTTGTTCCGCTGAGCTTGATTACTAACGTGAGTGCGATGTCCTGTGTGGGTTGTAAATGGTCTTCCTGGCCAGAAAACGCAATAAAGAGGCGGAGAAAATTGTTCGATGTCGGCTCAAATCGATGTTTGTCAGAAGTCTCTTCATATAATTGTTGTAGGAAAGAGAAGGCGAGATGATAAAAACAAGGACTTAAAGCAAGTCCGGTTCCTCCTCATAGCCTATTCAAAGCAATTCTGAAATACATTCTAAATCAGCGCATTCAGTCACTTATAATGATGTGTTTTCTTTCAGAACACGTAAATGAATTAGCTCTGAGTTTTCCTCACGCAAAATCGCGAGAGTTTTTTTTACAGCATTCATACTTTATCAATTCATTTTGCATTCCATCTAAAAAACACACCTTCGAGTTGCAAGTTAAGAAAAAAAAGTAGAAGAATCGAATTCAGCTGTATTCTTTCGATCGACGAGTAAAGATATTAAATCATTATCAGCAATAGATTAAGTGTGAATGGCAACAAGATGTCTAAAAGCTCAGAGAAAATCTTACTTCTGGTCTCCGCCTTCAAGCCCCTACGCGGACACGAACTAAATGCCCGCGGACTTTTCAAGCTAATTTATCTATGCTAAAGTCGATTCCTACCAAGAAAAAAATAAAAAATAAAAAATGAAAAACGCGATTAGAAATAAATAGCAAAAATGCTCCTCTGAAAACCCAATATCTTCGGTGTATTTTTCAAATTTCCTCCAATTCCTCGCTTGATGTTTTAGTAAAAGAATCATGAGTCGTATCTTTCTAGAAAATACCTTATGTAACAAGTACACCACGAAGGGACATTTATCAAAATATTATTGCATTTTTTTTTTATGTTTTTTGGATCGTTCGTGGGCTATTAAAATGACACAGCCTTAAAGAGTAGAGAATCTACGATTAATCTTTTTATTATGACGATCGACTAGTTGACCGAGTTGAGGGTATGTATGTAAATCACTTATTCCAAAAATAGATCGGAAGTAAAGTGTGATTGGTTTGTTTTGAATAAGTACTCTTTTATTGCTGAAAATGACGTCAAATGCATTCTTAGAAGATTCTTACAACGAATTTTTTGTCTCAAATATCACTCGTTGCTACCCGGTTGATCACTAGATATCAGACACAGGTCAGACCGTAAAGGTTTATATGAAGAGTACTGGTGCTGATCACGATATTCACACTTGAAAATGGGAGATATGGAAGCCAAAGAACACATACACAAATCTCTCGAGGAAGTTGTCCAGTCTACTTCTTGTCAGCTAAACAGAAAGCGATTTTCAGGAGCCCAGAGTTTTGATGTACCATCCAGCCATTATGTGACTAAGAACCCTAACCTTTACTCGACAGAGAAGAGAAGCCCTAGTTTCCCTTTAATGCACAGCCACTCAAACGGATTGTCAAAGAGTATGGTTGATTTGCCGTCGCGAAATCTGAACGGTTTACGAAAAAGCGTCATGTTCGAAGAAGATCTTTTTGCTCACAAAGAGATGTTGCAACGGGCTCGAAATCGCTTCAAGGAACTAGAACTAAAGTACCCTGAAATTTTCAAGAACTCTTCTGGAACCTATTCGTTTTCTTCATCTTGTTCAAATCAGCCTGATGGAAGCTTTGATCGCTCTCAGTCGCTCGACCCGAAATCAGTAGAGCATCAAGAAATACAAACAACGAAATCAGATAAATTACAAGTGCTTCGAAGTGGAACAAACGATCAGAGTTCTAATGTTGTTGCCACTACATCAAGAAGGAGACCTCCTCCTCTTTCGGTAGCTATGAAACTGCATAATCTCGAGGATAGTTGTGATAGTGCGTTCGACGATATCGACCGCGAGTCGGTACTTTCAAAAACGTCCCATGAACCGACGCCGACTTCATTTAGCAAAACTCACTTTCTTTACCCAGGAGAGAGTGTGGAATCAGACAAGGACAGTGGAATATCAACAGATCGTCCATGTACTCCAAATTCAAGGTCTTCCAGGCCTGCGAGATGGGAAGATCCACAAGTAAGTGGCACACTCTCTTATCCGTCTACGCGACCGAATTCAATGAGTTTGACAACCTTGCCGTTGTCAAGTTCCCTGGAGTTTGCTAGCTTCGACTCTGAGAGTCAGACGAGTCGAAGTGTAGATCGACGAGGTATTCTTAAATCTGTGGCCTACAGAAATCAGGAAATTAAGACGGAAAGCTTGGATATCGCACCAAGTTCAAGCAATTCTTCTTTTAACTGTCAACGGAGTGTATCTTTGACAGGAGGTCTAAGAAGAGGTAAGGTCCAACACGGCACTATGATTTCTAGACGCAATCTTTGCACCTCTTTTCCTTTCAAATCATTCTGTGCGTGTGTTTATTTATTTCTATAGTGTTGATTAAGGGATTTTGATTTTTTTTTTCAGTAAGCCCTTTTCGTTTCCTTGTTGCACGATCAATGAGATTAATTTTTGAATATTTCATAAGTCACAGCAAGCGAATTATTGCTACCTTTGAAGCATGAAATGTATGCAAGTTGCTGAATCTGTTAGGATATTGATTTGCGTTTTAGTAATTTTTGTTTCACGATATCTGAGGAAGAATAAAAGTGGTCTCCCTCTTTTTTTCTTTAACTAGTTCTGAGATGCGAAAAGTTGATTGGTATAGCACAGGATGAAACTGATTCGAAACTTGCCGATACCAGACCTATTTTCGTTTGGAGTGCTATTTTAAAATTTTGTTTTGCGAGGCGTTAAAAGAAACATAAATTTAAATGTTATTTGTAGTTGAGTTTTCACCTGGGGGTGTCCTTAAGTCAGGAAGTAGCGGTAGTAGAAATTTCTTCTTTAATTTAATGACATCGAAATTTACCCACTTTTCTGGCGAATCCAAGGTCGTTTGGTGTTATCAAAGGTCACATTTTCTCGGCCTGATGTTGTTTCAGAGCGCCAGATGTATGGTGCAATTTTTATTTTAGTTGTGGTGTTGGTGAATAATGCACTTCATTTCAGAAATAATTTGTCGGCCATTTTTCTTTTCCTAGAGCCATTTCCGAATGCTCGTTTCCGTCGAATGACGCAAAAACTATACATAATATGTTTTCGATTAAGATCTTCGTCTAAAAATAGTCGTCAAATCTAGAAATAAGTAAACGCATTTGATTGGATTGGTTGGATTTAGTTGTTGGTGATTAAAGAATACCCTAAGAAATATCATTTTGCAACATATTTTATTAGTTAAAATTTGTGTTCGCTTTCGTGTCTAGCCAAATGGAGCAATACTTTCATGCAAGGAGAAATTTTCCTTTATAGCTGACCTATCTATTATCTTACATTTGTTCAGTGTATGGTCAAAAGATTGATCACAATTGATTGCTACTGAAAAAAGTTTCGATTTATTGCCGAGGTAAGAGTGCACTGCCCTCGTATTTGTTCGATAATGGTAACATTAAAACGATTGGAGATAATTTGTTGCTGTGGGTAGCGCATTTGTTTACACTTTGTTGGCTTTTTAACAGGTGACGTTGAAAGTAGACTGCTCGCGAAGGTTCTGTCGCAAATTTCACTAATAACCTGGGGATGAGTGATATTTTCTTCATTATCATTCACTTAACCAATGAATTATTTTCACAATGTGAATGTGTGACAAAGAATCGTTCTGCATTAGAAACCCACACAGCCAACTTCTTGAATTAATGCCAGCGCGATATCTTTACTTGCAATTTTTTTGGGAAGATAATTTAGTCGAAGCTCGAACAATAACTTGTAAATATGTATGATCTTTTTTTAATTATAGATTAATTTTTTGCTTCTTGTATCTACATGCAATAAGTAGATGTAATGAAAATACATTTACTCAGCCAAATATTTTTGCCCTTATACTCTGACAATTTGTAAAACTGCTCAGTTCGATTCATTTAAATTTTCAATCATGAAAAAAACTATATTTTATTTGAAAATGATTTTGAAGCAAGCTTTAGAGTAATTTTCCATACATATTCCTTGCTTGGAAAATCAATGTTATGTTTTTTAAATAATTATAATTTCCTTTTAACCTTTAAAGAATTTTTTTTTTTGTTTTCTCTATGTGTTGATTTTGGAGATTAAAGACTTTCTGTATTTTGCTAGTCAACTTAAACATGAAATGTACCATTTTTGGTAATGGCATTGTTTCATTGTTAAATTGTTTTGTAATGGCAGTTGTGAAATAATGCAATAAAATTACTTTGTTGAAAGTATTGAAAGGTTGGAGGAAACACAACTTCAAGCCTGTGGAAGTAGGTACTGCACAATAAAATTTCTCTGTTGAAAATATTGGAAAACCAGACTTCAAACCTTAAGAATGAGAAGAAATTAACATAATATGTATTATTGTTCATTTGATTAATTTCTGTGTCTATTCTTGGATGTTTATCCACACAAGCACTGTATCACAAGATTACAGAGATTAAATCTTATGTAAATTAAACAATTTTCTATTAAAAAAAAAAAGCAATCCTGGAGGAGTGTCAGGAGTTGCCATAAAATCAAAAATTTGTCAGAGAGAAATGAGATTTTGGTTTTATGCCTACCTAATTATAAATGTTTAGTGATACGGCTTGTTCTTAACAATAGATTCAGAAATAATATTTCAATTTAAAAAAAAACCTAGCTGTTTACGTAAGGAAGGTATTCTCACGTTTTATCTTCCATCATGTTATCAAGTTCTGCTTGTTCTTTCAATGTGCCTAATATTTCCTTCATGATCAATTTTTTTCTCGGGTTACATTCATACAACCCAATTTACAACATTAAGCTGTATATAAATAAACGTAATACTTTTTGGCAGATAAGCTCTGAATATATTGAGGAAAAAAGTGTCGCGGTGCTTTATGTTTTTAAAAAATTTTGATTGGCCAGTTTTTAGATGGACCCTTTTTCTGATGTCTACTTTGTGTCAAGAGCATATGAGCTTTACAAATGAGTTTGATGAATTTTTTTCCATTTGAAACAGTAAAATGTAGTGTAGTTCTTAAGTTAGTTATAAACCACAAAGTACTCTATATCTCTTTCACTCTTGAGACTTGATATAGAGAGAGAGTGTTCTTTTATTGACGAGAATGCAATTTATGTTGCTGCCGCTGGTGGAAATAAATTTGGATGACATCAATATCATATCCCCTTGTTGGTAATTTTGTCAAATCTCATCAATTGTCCACATGATAGTGTAATGAAATTATAAGGAGAATTTGTGTTCTGATCACAGAATGCCTTTCCTAATCTGGTTTTGTTGTTGCATTTTTAACAGGTTCAAGCATATATCGCAGGAGCATCTTTTTGCAAAGTCGCAGTTTCAGTGGAAGCCAAGATGAGACAGATTCAGATGCTGAGACAGTTTGCAGTGTTCAAAGCGAGTATATTTTGCGGCCCCACATGTCAGCTCGTGAAAGATATTTCAGCACATATCAGCTTAATACAATTTCTGAGGGTGAACCTAGAGACTTGATAAGGACCCAGAAATGGAGAAGCATGCCTGAGCTTGGTAGAAGCCATAGTCTTGGAAGTGTGTCATTCTATGGAGACTCTTTACCTGCTGGTTTTGATGAAACTAGAAAGAAAAAAAAGAAGCGCAAATTTGGTCGTCGATCTGGTCTCTATGTTGTAAATGATGTGCCAGTGAGTGAAAAACCAAGATTGTCTATTGACAAAGGCAAGAGCAAAACAAAAAGTTCATTAATATTCCGCAAGAACAAGTCCAAGAAAGAAGCCTTGCATGTTAATGAGTTAACAAAGAAATGGTTTGACTCTACAACTGCTGTGAGTCGGCCAACAGGGGGCCAGAGTTTGGGAAGAATCATAGCTATGCGGGAAGATCTTGGGAGCGCTTATGTCTTAGAACTACAAAGGAGTCCTGGTGGATTGTTTGGGTTTTTCATTCAGAAGGGTTATCAACAATACAAGAAAGGAGTGTTTGTTAGTCGAATAATGGACTGTGCCTCTTCAAAGTTTATGGCTGGTCTGTTAAACCCTGGAGATGAGATCCTTGACATCAATGGAGAAAGTACTGCAAGCAAGACTATGTCAGAAGTACACAATATTCTAGCAAATTCTGACAAACTTGTTCTGACTGTTTTGCCATTTCTTGGTCGTAAGGATTGGTAACCCCCTGGCAGTGTCCTTAGGAAAATTATATACTGAGATTTTTTTACCTGTATAACTTATTGTCAGTTTGTTTTAATGACATTTTGTTGGCAAAAGACCAAATTGAACTAGTCTGGTTATTGTATGGCTTTCATAGTTGTAAATTATTTATCAGTAAGTGTGGCAGCATACCAAGGTTATTGTATAGATTTTCAGTGTGGGTGACTTCAGTCAAAAATTCATCATCATCACCAGTCTTCTTTGTGCTTTGTTGCGCATAAGGCCTTCGGTCAAAAATTAAAAAGGTGGAAAATTCAAATTGGGCAATAACAAGTTCGCATCAATATTAGTTTTAAGATTTTGATATTGTGTAAATTTAATTTAATTAGGAAAATTTTGAAAAATTGGAATGAACTTGATTGTGTTTCAAGTAAAGGGTATCTAATGAGAACTATCTCACAGTTAATGCAAATTTATAAATTTTTCATAACTTTTTAAAAAATGGTCATTTACATTCCTAACCATACAGATTTTCTCCTTCTTCAGTTACACTCATTCTTATGATATCACAGTAATGCTTCTCAGTTGCAGAGATCTTGTTATTTTACTGGACTCTGGATTGAAAGGATTGGGTTTCTCATTGTAATCTTTGTGCCTCACCAAGGAGTAAATATAGGTACCTTCTGTGAAGGGCACAAAAATCTCTGAGAAACCAGACAGCCTGTCAGAGAAGGCTCTTTAGCTGACTTTTCCGTTGTGTTTTCCTTTCTTAATAAAGTAATGTTGTAGAGTTTTCCTTAATTTATGTTGCAAAAAAACAATTAAATATATCACAAATTGGTACTGTTAAACTCCATAGAGGACTAATTGCTTTCATTGTAAATAATTATTTTTGCAACATAAATTAATTAATTTATTATAGTTGTCAGCTGTTAATTGTAATTGAAATTTTGAACAGCAAGTAATATTGCTGTTATTTTTTAAGAAATACGTTGTATTTAACGTATGTATTCTGGTGAAAAGAGTGAATAGGATTACTGTCACTCTTTACTTTGTGACAAGCACAATATGTGGTTGTATAGAATTAAAAGAATTTAAGGTCATTTCTACTTCTTGGTCCAGTAATGTCAATTTTAATGTATAGGTGGCGATTTGCCAAAGTATTTTTTTATGTCCATTATTTTTGTTGTGGTTCAAAAAGTATTGTATGATGTTCAGTAACACCTGTAAATTATTGTAACAGGTACTTATTGACTGTAAATAAAATGTTGGTAGTTGAAGTTGTTTCAATGAATGTTATGTTAGGTATCAATTTTATTTCAATGCTCCAACAGAGACTCACATGAACCTGAACTAAAGTTTGATCAATAACTGACTCTCCGGTTGTGGATTTGTTCACTCAAGGAATGGGGCCATCAGAGTTCTATGATCTTTAATTTTAGGTTTTGTTTTTTCACTTGGCAATGCACAACCTTCACTGGCACCCAGTTAAGTTGATTTAACAGACTAACAGCAACACCTCATAGACTCTAAATACACCCTAACAATAGTATGCATTGTTGCCATATAGTTTTCTGTACTTTTCCTGAGGTACTGACAAGGAAAATTTGTCTAACGAGCAAGAGCATCTTTGATTGATGATCATTTCCTTTATTCTCATGACCTTGTGTTTGATCCACATATATAATTTATTATAAGGGGAAATTAGATGTTACTCCAAGGGATCAAGGGGTTCATGAATGCTATTCATATGCTGCGAGATTGTACATAGTCAGAGACTTTCACTACTGAAACAGGTAGATTGTTTTTCCGCAGACGTGTGTAACAGTTGCTGTTGGCAACAAAGGTGATCGTTTTTAGTCACGTGACTTAGCACAAGAGGCAAACACACATGATAACATTCCTTTGCATTTCTTTGCCTGAGCTTTTGCTTTCAGTCGTTTATCTGCTTTCGTTTAGTAATACAACATAATCCAGCTAAAAGTGTTCTATAATATTTCTTTTCACCTAAAATCGAATTGATTATCACAGATCTTGGGCAATTGTCTATGCTTTTACCACGGATGAAAGACCTTCCTTGTTTGTTTTGGAAAAGCCCACCATCATTTTAATCTCGGCAATACGAAGGAATGTGATCATGTGTGCTTACATTTGAGGCATCAGGGAAAGATCACCTGGGCTCAATTCAAATATGATTCTCTCCACCGGCAACTGTTTTGCGCATCTCCAAAAAAAAGTCTACCTGTTTTGGTAGTAAATCCAAGCTGCAACAATGATTCCTTTTGCTAGATCTCCAAACCAGTCCCTCCACTAACTATGCTTTGGCTATCCCCCCCCTCCCACCCACCACTATTCAAGATGTGGAAATTAAACAACTTGAAACAAAACAAACCACATAATAATGAGACAAAAAGTAAAAGAGGAATATTAGCACCTAAACCAAATTTCATTTGGATGAGACAACTAGAAGTATTGCTACTCCCTCAGATGGGGAATAGTAATCAATTGCAGGTTTACATCAGCTTTTCCTGATAGTTTGCAAGTAACCCAGTTATACTCCCCAGGTTTGGTTGTTTTAGAGAGCAGATAACACTATTCAACAGAAACATTGCTATCCAAAAGATAAGAGTTAACTGAACATACTGTGCTATCCATTGCATAGAGATTTCTCTTGCTGATAGTATTATCCACTCTGAACAACTGTGTCCTGATGGAGAGAGGCAATGTAAAAGTTGCGTATCTAAATCAACAACAAAGTTAAATAACCCCACATCGTTTGAATCCAGACTGTGTGAATCATAGTCTTCTTACATGTAGCCCAAAATGCCATTCAATTTCCAACCAAAAAAGTAACTAGAAGCTAATGAGAATTGTATCTGCACAGGATATTCTATGTTGTGTTAAACATGCATGCTTACATTGCTTGCATAACAGCAATATTAAAGTCGTGTTCAATAATTAAGCTGGGATCAACTCATGGCGTCTACTCATGGGAAATAAACATTTGCAGGTTCAACCCTAAAATGTTTTGTAAGCCATAACTACTGTGTCAATTTTAATTTTAATTCAGATTAGTGTTCTAATTAATTTTTAACATTGTTTTCATTCAGTTACTTTAGTTTATCAAAACAGCATAATCCTTTTCTTAAAAATCATACATTCAATAAATATCTTAAACATCAATTTACTACAGACTTTCTTTTCCCCAGAAATACAAAGGGTAATTGCAAATATGATACACAATCAGATTGATGACAATAATTTAATTAAAGTGACCTTTCTTTAAATAACAATGATACGTTGGACTGCAACCTCTTGCCACTATAAATAATACAATTCATAACAAATACCACATAACCATGCTTGCAACTAATGACCCCTTATAATAAGGAGCACCAACTGGTAACTGATACTTACTATGTAAGAAATTTCATTGTATCTACATGTGGTTTATTATCTTACCAAATAATCTGCCACAAAATTTTCTTCATATGTATGACGAATAGTGTTTTATAATAAAGATCTCGGGAGGATATTCCTACATTATCCTGGGTGGATTAAATACTGAATGTTTTCAGTCACAGATACTGTTCAAAGTTTTTTATGATGGGTGTGCTATTGAACTGTATTTAGAAGCCTGTTGAGTTCAATCGAAAATAGCCCTATGGTGAAGGTAGAGACAATTTCCACTTAAAAGTTACTTTCAAATGTTGCTCTGTTGCATGCGGAGTCCCCTTCTTCTCTATGTAAGAGAGTTATGTCATTCACTGCTAATTAACCAACATGCAAAGACAAAACAAAACAAAGAAGAAGAAAAAACAAACAGCAAAACGAAACTAAATGAGGTTGAGAAAAATTAACATAGGTTGTAAACAAAAACTAGAAACAATTTGGTTACAAGTTTAAGGATTCACAAGCCATGCTTATACATGACAACCATCAGTGCAAGGTGTAATTCCTTTGCATTTCTTTTGGGGTGAGGGTGCATCGTTGACCAGGGTTCACATCAACTCGAGAATCTACACCAGCTTATTACTTGGTACCGTGTATCATTAATTATTACAGGTAGTTAATTTTTACAAGTTCAGTATCTATATGTTATAAATAATTTGTCTTAAAAACTGATAGGTGCCTGATTGATGATAGTGTCATGTAAGTACATGAAATTCTGAATGTATGTAAATTATTTTCAAGGTGAAAGATGTCTTTAGATGTGTGTTGCACAAATTTGCAAGATTTCAACTAGATCTTCTCTGTGCTAAGGTCACTGCAGTACTGCATGCCTGTGGCAAAGATCTCTCTGGGTATAATGTGATGGCAAAAAATGAGCTGAGCTAACTAGGAGATCATTTCAATTTCATTCAATAGGCATCATCACTTCAAATCAAAGTCTCAAATGCTTTAAACACTTGACTGAAATCTGTAACTGTGTTCTGCACTTAAAAACTGCATGCTGTACAGCTATTTATTATCTTCAAAAGTGTCCATCATGAAAGAGGAAACATTCAACAAGCTCTGCTATACCCTAAAGAGGCCAAACTTTAAATGCACTTCCCATTTTTTTAGCAGTCTGGAGCCCAAAGGCTGACAGTTCTGTCTGCACTAGAGCTCAGGAAAGCAAGAAGGGTAGGGTGCCAACGGCACTGGATGACTTTGTCTCTATGATGAGCCACTACAGAGTAAGGTGGTATTTGTGTCTCTAAGTCTTTCCTCATGTCCATCAAGATGATACTACAGTCATAGGATCCGGTCAAAAGAAAGTTATTATCAGGTGAAAAACGTACTGATCTACAATCCATTGTGTGTGGCTTGAAAAGCTGTAGGGTTCTCCCGGCTGTAATGTCATAGATCATACAGCTACCATCTTCTTGGCCTGTGTGGTTGCGGAGAAAGACAGCATAAATTAACTACTCATTAGTATAGAACAAAATTGGAAACTGACTGGCTAGTGAAAGCCACACCACAAATGAAAACCTTAACTTCAACAAGAAAAATCATTTTAGACCACCCAAATAAATCATGATGGTAACATACTGTTGGCTAAATATCAAATTTTCATTTGATTTGTTTCATGTCACTCCTGCTGACAGCAGTCATGCTGATAAAGGATCTGAAGATGACTTTCTCTCCGGTTGTTTAAACATTAATCACCAACAACAGCCCTCTTCAGGACAACCCTCACCCACACAATAACACTCTTTGACCACAAATTGTATGTCACACACAAAAGTTTTGTCATTTACCTGAAGCTAACATGTTGCCCGATGAGTTTACACAAACAGATGCCACACAGCTATCACCAGTGGCTACGGCATCTATACATCTCTGTGACCTCAGGTCCCACAGCCTTACAGTATTATCTGCAGACCCTGAGGCTATGATATCATCACTGTCAGCATACACAGCCATGACGTGTCCTGAGTGACCTTTGAGTTGTCCTATCGTCTGACCAGTACTGCAGTCAGAGATCATAATATTTCCATCTCCTGTTTGATAGAATAAAAAAGAAATTCAATGCACTGTGATTTAAGAATGACATGGTCTTTCTAAAGAAGACAACATCAGGATAAAACAAAAGATACCACTTAAAGTGTATGTGACACTTTATTTTTTAAGTATTTTCCTTTCTTGATATATGCAATATATGAAAAATGTTTTGATAACGCGAAAAAAAAATAATTTGGATGAATTTTTGCGGCCGAAATACCGCCAATTTCCATATGAAAGTGTCCAGGGAAACTGGGGATGATAATTGTCCTTGTCATGTCACAGTGTTTGATAACATTGCTGTCGCGCGCAGGTGCCTAATTTCTCTTGCTTGGGGCTTTGAATGTGCGAGTGATTAATGCTAATTTTTGACCCACACTGTTTAATTTGGCGATGTCTACCAATTCGACCCCCATGCTTTGATGGTTTCCCTTCCCTTTCAGCCATATTGTTTTGTTTATCAAACACAGTGACGTCACAGAAGTATATCATGTGACATTTTGGCCACGCGATTTCTGGGACAATTTTAACATGAAGGTAGCACGCATTTTGAACGGAAAAAAAAGGGTTTCAAAGTATTCTCAAGATCTAAAAACTTTACAGTCGTTTTTCTAACATTACCAATGACCAGAATCAGCGGGAATAAAAATTGTGTCATATACAGTAAAAAACCCGCAAGTAAGAACCTAAAAATTAAGAACCTGTCGGCCTAAAATTTGCCATTTATACCCCCTATAAACAAGAACCTATTTAGCCTAAGAAAATTAAAATAGGTTCTTATTTTCTAAAATCATATAGTACATTACAGGTACACTGAAATTATTTACTGTAATCATAATTGAAGAAAAACCAGATTGCCATTGCTGTAAAACATTATTTTCTTAAGAAAAATGAGTGCAAAATATGTAGTTACAAAATATAGGACAATTACCAACTTATTATGCAGGTGTGTTTTTCTCCAAAAATAAGAACCTGTTTTAAGAACCTAAATAGCCTAAAAATTTTGTTAAGTACCATTTAAATAAGAACCTGTTTAGGCTAACTCCTAAAAATGTAGGTTCTTACTTGTGGGTTTTTACTGTACACTTTAAGAGAGCTTCTTAAGTCAAGGTAGTTTACAACCTTGCTCAAGTATACCAAGTCCCCATACTGTTCTCTATAAATTTCTAGTGATATCAACAAGGAGAAAATTTTCTACAATCAAGAGCTTCTTAAGTTGGAAAGTATTTCTTCTATTCTCGTGACTCTTCTGATTGGTTCAGCAGCGACACAATGAGAAGAAATTAGATGGTTATCACTTTTAGGGGCTAAAGAGTTCCATAGAGTGATGGACCCCTAGAACAATTATTTTCCTGAAGTTGAACTTGGATGAGAATAGGGTGGTTTAGAGGTGAAGACATCGAGCATTTTTTATGTGGTCATTGTCTGTTTACGGGGTGTCTCTGAGGGGAAGGTTTACTTAGAAACAAAGTAACTACCTGCTCCTCCAGACACTAGCACTGGTGTCCCACTGGCTCGGGAAACAAAGGCCAGGTCCCTGACTGTACCATTGTGGATAGCAAGCTCCAGCCCTGGCCAAGTCACAGAACAGGTTTCAGCATCAAACCTGGTCATCTTTATGCTTTTATCATTTGATCCTGTAGCTATTACATCTCCTGTGGCACTCCATGCTACACAATAAATGGAGCCCCGGTGATGACGGTTGCTTTTGAAGAGAATGGTTGGTTGTGGAGGTTGGCCACTGCCTTTACTATATAAAAAAAAGCATCCAATTAACAAAGTGTAAAATAAACAGCTTATGAAGTTGGCTATAAATTTACCTCCCATGTACTTCAAGGTTTCAACAATTTCTAAGTCATAAAATTCTATAGCATAATAAGACTTTTCCAGAAACTTTTTGATGTTTTCCATAATCTATAATTGAGAGGTAAATTAAAATATGTAAAAATGATTGTGCCGAGTTTTTTTCCTCTCTTTTTCTAAAATTTGCGTTTTTTCCATGACTTCCTAGAAACCATACTCAAATTTCTTGACTTGCCTCCAAGCCTGGAAAATTATAAGGTGGAATTTCTTTCTTTTAGCTGCATGACCAGTTTATTTTACATTTAGCATTTACTATTTCTGAGCAGTCATGTTCCCTCTTCAAAAGTATTACAACTGGAATTAATTTATATTCTGTATATCTCACACCAATAAAAATTGTTACACTGTTGTTGTTGTTGAATATGAAAAGTGAAAGTCATGCTAAAAACCAGTACCTTTCCACTCTCCTCTGGGAATTCAACCCTTCAGCTGTGCACACTCTTAAAGTCTTGGAATTTGATCCAATAGCAAACAAATCTCCTGATGGATGAAATGCTATTGCTCTGATAGCTTGCACATCTTCTAGTGTAGCCACTGTATAAAACTTGGCCTCAGAGGATGACTGCAGAAATTGTTTCTGTTTTTCCAGGAGTGAAACATAATTTCTATAGTTACCATTGTTGATGGTAACGGTGGTGTTGTTTGGTGGTGAATTGGTGGAAGGTTTACGGTATGTCATGTTAACTGTCCCCATTTCTCTCTCTGTGAAATGATTATAGCATAAAAATTCAGAAAAAGTGCTTTGTCAACTTAGCTTTACCATTTCTACTTACATGTATTTAGAAATTTACTTGCCCAACAGAAAAATTCAATTCATTGCAAAAAATTCATATTAACAAAGATTTAGTAATACATAGACAGGTAAAAACGAACGATATAATATCCCGACGTTTCGGCGACTTCATGACACCATTATCAAGGGTATAATGTTAATGTTAACTTTATTTTCATTTTTACCCTTGATAATGGCGTCATGAAGTCGCCAAAACGTTGGGATATTATAGCCTGCAGTGCCTGCGTATTTTGGGCGCATGAGTGCACATTTTCATATCAGGCTGCTATCTTAGATTTGGTAACTGTGGAGGATTGGGGCGAAGAAATATTTTCCGAGGGAGTAGGTGTTAAGTGGAAAAATGGGCAACGGGAGAGAGGGAGGGGAAGGAAAAAATACGCCTGCCCACAAAGCCTGTGATTTTGCAAAACGCCCCCTAATTAGCAGCGGTTGACCACCTTTCCGGAAATGTGCAAGTAGCCAATGAACATCGATTTTTGCTTTTACCGGATGGAAGCCAAAAATTTACTTCTGACAAAAACATTGACACACATGTATTTGTCAACTTCGTGCAAAACAGAATCAATCGAGCGAGCGAGCGAGTATGTGAGTGAAGTTATGTTGGAAAGACGTCCTAACGACAGCTCTAGGATTTGCAAAAGCTCTTTTAAAGTGAAATTCGGAAATATTCCCGGCAAACAAGTGTACTCGTCCTCAGAAAACCTTTTTAGACCATTGCAGAGAAAGGTCAGCCTTGGAGTTGTTTTAGCAAAGGTTTGTAGTCGTGTTGGATTAGTATTGTTGCACGATCCTGCAACATATTCTGATCGCGTTTGCAACCCGTGTGGTCGAAAAATTCACAGTCTTGGCCAGTTGTTCGAGTTTGTCAAAGTGGGGATGACTCCAACGGTAAACTCCGTATCTAAAAGCATGAAACGCACACTGGCAACTCCGGAGAAAGCGAGCCCTTCATGGAGAAAATCAAAACTTGGTAGAGTTAATTCGGCAACAGCCAAGACACTATCGCCACAGTCAGCTGGCAAATAAAGAAAATCTCATCCACAATTATTGCAGCAAGGTTTTGGTGCAATGGTGATGTGCTCTTTTTCAGGGAAGAGAGAAAAGGCTTCGCTAGTATTTCTTCTGCGGATGCAAATATCAGTTGCTATTTGCCGTTTTCAACATCTTGTAAACTAGCACCAGCAAGGGATGTCGCTGTCAAACCCATTAAAGATGCTTCGGACAGCTGATCTTGCATGATGCTTTTGAGCGGACAGACAACAATCACACACGCAGCTTTCAACGATAATATTTGCTTCACGCGGATCAACAACTGGACGAGGCTTTTACCAAAGCCCGTCGGAAGAACTTCTAGGAAATCCCTTCCATGAACAAGAGAAGAAATGGCTTCCTTTTGTTCCAGGCATAATACAAGTGACATACCCAGCTCAGAGAGAAATAAAAGCACTTCTGCGAGAGCGGCATCAAAGCTTAGCGTATCCACCATTTTCTCTCCAAATCACTCCCGCTCCCAATTGTGGAACAATTGGAAGAAAACTACTTTAGATGACATGCATCAATCCAGTTTCAACCTACCGCACCAGTCAGAGGCCCTGTCCACCTGGTGTATGGGTTTTGCAAAATCACAGGCTTTGCGGGCAGGCGTATTTTTTCCTTCCCCTCCCTCTCCCCCATTGCCCATTTTCCCACTTAACACCTACTCCCTCTGCAAATATTTCCTCGCCTCAATCCTCCCCAGTTACCAAATCTAAGATGGCGGCCTAATACGAAAATGTGCACTCGTGCGCCCAAAATACACCGGCACTGCAGGCTAGGATATTATATCATTCGTTTTACCTGTCTATGTATTGAAAAAAAAAAAATAAAATAACAGAAATGTATAGCAATGTCCTAAGCATCAAAATCCATATTATCTACACTCTTCTCTATATATTTCCTATTCTATCGCCTACAAGAATTTGTTCAACAATGAAAGCATCTTGGGTTGATGATCATTTCCTTGTTTCTCGTGACGTCAATGAGTGATTGAGCAGTATTCATCAAAGTATTTTATTTAAGATCCTTCTGATCACGTATGGGGCTGTTCATGGGCTTGCACCTAATTATATACTAGAATCAATTAAGTTAAAGACCCCAGGAAGGTACAGATTATGATCTTGTAATGAAGATCTATTACTGGAATTACCAAAAGGAAAGAGGTACTCAACACTCGGTGACCGACCTTTTCAAACAGCTGCACCAAAACTTTGGAATGTTGTTCCATATTTTATTAGAAATTCAAAATTGTTGAATCTTTTAAAAAAATATTTAAAGACGTATTTACTTAAAGAAGCTTTTAGTTGTTAAATATTGAATTACATTAGATTAGATTATATATATTTTTTGTACTTAAACTACACTTTTATACATTTTTAGATATTTTATTGACATATGTTTAGCATATATATTATTTCATTATTAGATTTTTTTCTTTTTCTATTTGTTGTTGTTTTTTCTTCAGTTAGATTTTTGTAACATTTTATTTTCTGCACTGATGAAAATGTATATTGATATTAGTGCAATATAAGTTAATATTCTTAATATTGCTCTAAAAAGAAATTAGATGCTGGTCACTTTTAGGGTTTTAAAGATTGAAAGTGCTGAAAACTACAGTTACTGTATCGGTACCTTTCTGAATGACACTGTCAGGTTCTGTTTGGGTCATTTTTACTTCTGCTGGATGTAGATTACCACTTGGAGCTCTTGAGTTCTCTGCTCCTTAAAAGGAAAACCAATAATCACTAACAATGAAACAATGTTGTCAATGAACATTTCAAGCTGTAAATGTTTTCAACTTCAAAATGTATGCAAATTATTTCCCATTTCTTGAGAATAACCATAAACAAGGGGTACATGGAAGAGGAAACAAATGTGATTTGTAATGGACCATGATATTCTCTTCCAAATTATTTTAATTTGCTTGTGAAACAGAGGGAGACCTGCATGTTGCATAAAAAGTCAACATGGGGTTAATTCTGTGTAACCCTTCAAAAAAATAATAATTCAATTGTCCAAACATTGAAGAAAGGAAATCAATGCATATCTTTTAAATACAGTGTGTACATACTTGAGTCCACTACAAATGTCATCCCACTTCTTTTAGGTTGTCCATTTTCTGTTGCTGCTCCCTCCTTCAAACCTTGTGACACTGCTTCTACCTTCACATTAGGGGACTGCATTTGGTGACTGGCAGGTGTGTTGCTCCCGATGTTGGCGGATTTAATCATCTCTGGTGTGGGCACATTAGTACTGATACCCTCACCTTGAAATGGGATTATAATGTCCTTATTTTCCCCCATGGCCCCAATCTTGTGTGTACCACCACCCTGTGGCACCAAGGCTCGGCGCACACCATTGACTTTAGGTCCTCGTTTCATAGGGATCTGTTGATTGTGGGAGACACCGTTCTCCATGTCCTGCAAGATAAAAGATATCATATCATAGATTTAGTTCTCCAAAACATAAAAAAAAAGGGTTTAACAATTGGTTCATGCTTTAGCGTGCACTATTGAGTTATGGAGCACGTGAGAAGTTTGGAGAGCACGAAATAAGCGTAAGAGTTGCACGAGGCAATAGCCAAGGGTAACTCTATCTTCTTGAGTGCTCTCCAAACTTCCCACATGCTCCATAACTCGATAGTGCACAGCTAAAAGCATGAACCAATTGTTTCATAACATAGCTGGTGGAATTGTGCATCAAATCCGACGCGAAAAACAGACAACAGTAGCAGAAGTCTCCTTTTCTGTTGTTTTTCTCTATTTTTGCCTTATTTAAGAACTCTAGCCCGAGGGAAAAGGTCGGAAAATTGTCTTTGTTTTGGGACTGGTGGGTTGAGTCTCTGTTTGTATCCATTATTGTTGCAAAATATATTATTTTCTCACGCTAACAATGGCTGCTCGCGCGAAAAAAAATTCTGGCAAAGCGATTTGCTCACGCTATCAGCGTACACTATCGGGATTTTGAGCACGCCTACATGCACTGAATTTAATTGCATGGCTCTGCTAGCTATGTTATAATAAAAATTAGTCCAGTTTATGTCAACAGCATAACATGGAATAGACAAAATAATTGTCTCCAACATAACAAAGGTATAGCAGTATTATAGTTCTGTCAAAAATCTCATGATTCAATATACAGCAAAGAGCTTACAACAATTCTAAGTCCATAATGAAATGAAGGAATTTTGATTGATCTATAGAGACCTGATAGAGAGTAAGCTGCCTCTTTATGTCAAACTAACATCAGAACCTTGAAAGCCACAAGAGAAAAAATAAAATTGCCTGTCTTGCATAGTAGAAGTCACGCTTGAAAAACAGCATTGAAAACATTAAAAATCACCGAATAAACAACAGCCACTTCAAAGACCTACTTTAGAGATAACCAGCGCTAAGGGCTGTTTTGATCCTGCACGAGTAATAAACGCAAATGTGTGTTCAAGATGACAAGAACTTAACTCCTGTAAATATAAAACCTGTTTAAGGATCCAACAACCAGCCAAGTGGATAGGTTTTAAGGATTAACAAATGCCTCAGTGGATGTGACTGATCAAACCCCCTGTACTCACTGGTACCTGTGTAACTTTCCTTCAAAGCAGAGGTATGACAGAGTGCAGTTTTAGATTAAAAACACTGGGATAGAGTGATTATCTCTTCACAGGTACCAGTAATTCAATCAAGAAAGGCAATCAAAATAAATAATTATGGAGGTACACATTTCTTGATCTATAAACCCCAAAATTATGCTAGTGCATTTCCTTTACATCTTATGGTTCCTACTTGAAAAGGTTCTTTGAGAAAATAGCAATCATTTTTTACACAGATCAAATACCAAAATCAGAATGTAACCAGAGAAAACCAGAACAGTTTGTATGTTGAGAAAATTGAAATGGACAAATAGATGAGACCTATAAGCTATTCTTAAAATCACACTTGGAAGTTAATGGCACTAGTCTTTTCTGGATAAATGCAAACTTCAAAACAATTATACACTGGAAAAAATATAGGTCAGATGGGAAGAACAGAGCAGCAATATGTTTGGCAAAGCTTGCAGACACAACTACATGTTAACCAGTAACTGAGACAAGTGACAACAAATGAACTGTGAAAACCTTTAAGAACCATGAGAAAAACTATTTACAAAGGTCACAACACTCTCTATTGTTTCTCCACCATGAAAAACCCGATAATTTAACTTACTTTGAAGATGAAGACAGGCATTCTATTCACTGAGCAACTACCTAGAGTGCAAGTTAGACAGTGGCTAAATTCAGACCTTACACACTATCCAAAGTTTGGTAGGTGTTAAAAATTAAATGAAAATAGAAATGATGTCATTGAAGGAAAAGGCAGGTGTGAAGGGTAGTGAGTTCATATCTTGTTGAGCAACCACTTAGAACAGTTGGTTAGCGACATTTTGAGGGTTTTATTGTCTTCAAATAAAAAAAAAGGACCATCTCATCTTTACCAAATACATGTACTCACCATGCAAAAATGTTTTTACTCTAGGATTGTCAAAAAGATTGAATTAAGCGGTTGGAACTGACTGCAATTTTAATAAACATATGAATCACAAATTAAAACAAACCTTTTTTTTGCAGTAAATTCTAACTTTTAACTTGTTCATAACATAGTCAAAATAGTCATATTTAACCCTCTTACACAGTGCTCAGTAATCTGGACCATTGCAAATAACACTGTAGAAATCTAACTACATTAATAAGCAGATCCAACTAGGACCAACTCCCTCCTGTTTACCTTTCCTTTTTCAAAATACAAATACATAATTAAACAAAAATTTATATAGCCATTGCCAATACAATGCAGTATCTTCAAAGTTTCAATGATACACTTTCAAACAAAGGTAAATGTAAAATGATAAAGAAGAGGCCATGCAACATGGAGTATTCTCTTTTTGGAAACAAAACAGAATCAATTAGATTTTAAGAAAGCATTGATACTAACGTTCAGATGCAGTTGAAATTAAGAGAATGACAAGAAATCAAAATAGCAAGTGAACAATTAAGTTAAAACACTAGACATACAGTGTGATCTGAAACACCTGCAGCCTTTCATATCTGGTCTAATATGCCAGTCAGAAAACGAACATTGGCTGTTAATGTGAAGACAACATTTGCCTGCAACCACCAAAATTTTTTAAGGTCTTTACTTTCTTGTGCCAATGGACAGCAGCTGTTTAGTTGAACTTCACAGGGATTACTGATCTCAAATATGAGACAAAGAACATTGTATTAAGACATCTTTAGATAAATTTGAGTGGTAACATACCATTACTGTGTCAGCAGCTAATACAGGGAGCATGGGTGATTCTGTTCTTTTGCATTCCGCAACAAATTTAGGTGTTTCCTTGACATAACCAAGAGGAATGCCACATGGGGGTGTGGAACCATCTACATGCAGGATAGGGGATGCAAGTGGTGCTGTAGTAGATGATAATCCCTGCCTAGTGGACTTGGGTGTACTGAAATGACAAAACATTACAGAAAATAAAACAGAGATATGAAGCAGCACTTGCTCACTGATGCATATGTAACAGTTATTCCAGAATGCTTGTCAGTATTAAAAGATTACTCAAATCCCAGATATAAATACAGAGCTCCAACATGTAAACCCAACTTTTGTGTTTTATAAATGCTGCTAAAAAATTCAATTTAATAACAACACTGCACTTGGTTAGAAGGCTAAAAGGCCATTTACCTGGTGTTTAAAACTCCTGAACCATCAGCTAGGGCAACCCAGTGACCTGTTCCGAAAGGTGGATGTCCATTTAATACTGGAGTGTTAGGAAATGTTTGCTCTGCTGGTGTAATTGGTATTCCATCATAGGTAGTAGGATTCCCCTTCATATCTGCCAAGGTTAAATCCTCTGGTTTATGCTTTGGTTTTGTAGCAGGAGTTGATGTCATGACTTGAGTGACTGAAAAACCACTTGCATCACTTTTCTCATGACTTAGAAATGGCCTTACACCCTCAGGTATTTGACAGCTGCCTTGAGCCCATGGCAGGTAATCCTCACTGTTAACATGATTCAGATTTCCTTCTGATGGACCACGAATTAATGCCTTACCATTTGGTTGATGACTCGTACTTACTTGCACTGAGCTCTGTGGATAACTTTGAAAACCCATATCATTGGATAAGAGTTTGTTGCGAGAGCCATTGGAAGAATCGCTGGATTCTGGTCTTTCATTAAGCAGCTGAGATGTTATACTATCAGTTCCATCAGGTTTTTTATTAGCAGTCTCTCTCAAAGACAGTTCTAGAAGTTGCTGTTCAAGATCTTGCTTCTGCCTCTCATAGGCTTCAAGCTGCTTCAAAACATTTTGTTGTTGCTGCTCCTTCAGTGCATGAATAGTCCCAGGATCACCACTTGAGTCTGTACCATTAGCAACTAAGTGTTGAGAGAGCTCCTGCCCATGTTCAACATGATTCGTATCATCATCTGGGATATCAGTTTCCGCCAAAACTTTTTCTTCACCCTCAAGTCTAGAGTCTAATCTACTTTTAGAGAGGCCAATATTTCCTGCATTATTCAACGGCTCATTTTCTGAAGAGCCTTTGTAGTGAAACTCATTATATGATTGTGAAATTCCTCTGAGAGGTTTGTTAGAATGTGGTCGGTTTTCAGATAATGTTCCCCTGTTTCCTTCTGTTTCCAACCTCGACGGGTGTGAAGCCATATCTGCTGTGGCTGGCCTCCCTGAGAGAGACAAACTCCTTGAAATAATTTCAGCATCATCTCTTTTAGGAGATTTGTGATATAAGAAACCAGGTGTGTGTTTTCCTTTCTTCAAGTCCACTTCTAAACTTACTGGTTCAAAGGGTGTGATGAATGCATCTTGAGAGAGATTTCTGAGCCAAGACAAGAAATTTCCAGAACTCTCTTGTGATGGCCCATTTAAAATATTGTCTCCAACGCAAACATCAAGCTCCCCTGAGAGATTTCCATTAATTGCTCTCATCTGACAATAATCCACACAACTCTCGAAACACAATCCCTTGATTAATAAGTGCAATAACCTGTCTCTAATTGGAATCAACGGTTTTGGAAATTTCCCATTTACACCTTTTTTCTCGATGGGAATGACCTTCCGCAATAAATCAAGAATATGATCAAAGCAACTTATCCTTGCAGTTGTGGGGTTCCAGTCGCGATATTCCGGTTGTTCAGATAAATTAGGAACAGTCAATAGCCAACATAGTTTGCTGTATTCAGCTTTGTTTGGGCAGTCTTCTTCCAGTTGATTCAGACACTTTATTAAATCCTCAATCGAGTAGCTTGTTGAATTTCCACCAAAACCCGACTTGAAGTACAACACTTCCATAAACTTCTGCTTCAAAACAAGATAACGGAACTGTTTTGAATCAAACTCGTTGATGCCTTCAAATGGCTGAGCAAAGATCAATATGGCCTCCCACTCGCCGTCGAGAACAAGGTCTCTCAAAAACAGAATGTCATCTGAGAAACCACAGTTAACGATTCCAGATTCTTTCTCCAGACTTCTCATGGAGTTATGAAGCTTTCTGGAGTCCAAGAAATCGAGGACAAGCCTGATAACTTGATTATCCTCCACCACTACGTTGGTATTTAACATCTTTCGTACCTCACTTGAGAGATGGCTAGTTTTGCTTCGAAGTGCCTGTACTCTAGCTACCGTCTGGGCCTCGTTTGTTTTTAAATCGTCCTGCACCATATGCCGATACAATGCTCATTTTTGTAAGGTTCCTTCTCCCACAGCCAATAACTTCAATGCCTCCCTCGACAGAAACCGTCTTTTCATTATTTCTAAACGTGGTTTGTAAATAATGCATCGCGCCAAAAACAAGACAGACGCATGCGCAGAAATAAGTACGCTTAGCCGGCTCAGCGGAAACAGCTTACGAGGGTTTAATTTTAATAGAGCTCAATCTGTCATCTACTTCCGGTTGTATAGTTGCCAGTACGTAATTGGAAAAGATTAGTAAAGCCAAGACAGAAAGTGATTAGGACATTTGAGTCACTTTTTTAATATTTGTAAGGGGCAAAACTTCTCAATTCAATTGATTTGAGCTCTTAGCCATAATTAGGAACTTAATAGTTGTTTATTTCCAAATCTTCATCCTGATTGGCTCCTTTTCTCTTTTATCAATGAATTAATAATAAAGTTATGGGGGTTTCAACAGCATGCAACTGGATTAATGAAATGGGACACTTAATTCATTAACCATGTTAATCAAGTACACCTGGGTTTTTTTCATTTCCCAAATGTTGATCATTAAAAACAGATTCTGTAGATTCTTAACTCCCAAGTGTGACCAATCATGAATTTCCACACATTTCCAAGCAGAAAGATGATAGGGTAAAAAAAATGACCAATTAGGAAGAAATTGTTTGATTGACCACCAAATTCCCAGGACTAAATCATAGGTGATGAACAGTATTGATAATCACTGTTTAGATCCTACTAATGAATGGGTTAATGTGACACAGTGAGTATTCTCAAATCTGGATAAAAGGTGTTGGTTTGAGCCTTAGACAGGGTTACTGTGCTGCGTTGTAGGCTGCAGATTTTACCCTCATGGTGTCCCTTCACAATCAAGAAAATAAATAAGTGGGCATAAATTGCAAGGGTAACCTGCCATGGACTAACATCCTGTTTTAAGGGGGAGGGGGTTACAATACTCCTACTGTCAAACCTGTGTTAAGCTGTCACCCTGTATTACACGGTCAACAGAAATCTTTTCCATTTCTAATTTTCACCTCTATTAATTAAGCAGTCACTTTAAGGAGGACCACTCAAATAAAACCAAGAATAACCTTTTGTGTAAAATTTAATACATATCATTGCCCAAAATCAATATTGATAGCATTATTGAGTGAATATTTGTACATTAAGTGGTCAATTATGGCTTAAAATGACATTAAGTATCATTTTTTTTATTACCACTATTCTGTTGAACCTGTATGATGTGGTCTACCTATGTTTTGTGGTCACCCCTCCATGCCCCTCTGTTTACCACTTGATACAGGTTTGACTGTATTTCCTTGGTGCAATAGAAACCAATGTAAGCTCCAGCTTCTAAGCAAGTTAGTCTAGCATGCAGGGATCACCTTACCCAACATCTATTATTCTACTTAGAAACCAACTACATGTGTTTGATTCAAAACCAGCAACCTCAACTGTTTATTATAAATTTTTGGACACTTAAATATTCAAACAGAACACACAATAAACATTCATTTAAGTATTTCACAATCACTGTCATCATCATCTGAGAGCACAATGGAGATAACTGTCCTTTCAGAAGTTTTTTGTTTCTTGATGGGAGAGTTTCTCCCGGTCCTATTCAAAGATGATAGCAATCTTTTTGATGCCTTCGCTTCAATACCAGACTGACCACTATTGATAATTTTCTCAGGAGAGCTGCTTATCAAAGAAACAGAAAGTTCATCCTTTTCACCTTTTGGTAATCTTTCATTATCATCAAGATTTGATTTATTGTCTATGGCCTCTAGGACATTACAAGAGGAAGATGGCTGACTTCCTGGGACTTCCAAAGTTGCTTTGCGGAAACTTTTCAGTGGCCTATCAAAATCAAGTGATCCATTCTCTGCTTTCCTCTTCTTGGGGCTTAGTGATAAAATCCTTTGACCTTTAGGTGATATAGGTTTAATATTGACAGTAAGAGGTGATAAAGTAAAGTTTACACCTTTTCTTTCCCTAGATAGAGAGGACTTTGGTGCATCATCATGAGAACTATTTTCCTTTGGATATTTTCCAGCAATAACTTCTCTGTTGTCAACATCAGAATGAAAAGAAGATCCAGTAACTTTGCTAATCACATCTTGTGTCTTATCATCAAAATCATTGAGAGAAGACTTTGTCTCTTGCACTGAAGAATCTTCTGTGCTTGAGATTACTCTACTTGGGAGAGTATTGGTCTCTTGGGATTCAGATGAGGTCTCTACTAGTCCAGTTGCCAGGTCTTTCTCAGTTACAGTGATAACATCAGAACCTGATTTCACACTGGAAGGAGAAGACTTTGTCTCTTGCAGTGAAGAATCATCAATGCTTGATATTTCACAACTTGGGGATGTACTGGTCTCTTGGGATCCAGGTGAAGTCTCTACTGGTTTAGCTTTCAGTTCCTCCTCATGAACAGTGATAACATTAACACCTGATTTCACACTAGAAGAAGACTTTGTCTCTTGCAATGAAGAATCACCCATACTTGGTATTTCATGACCTGGTGAAGTATTGGTCTCTTGGGATTCAGGAGAAGTCTCTACAGGTTCAGAGTATGATGTCATACTGGAATTCTCTTGTAATAATGAGTCATTGACACTTGACATCACACGACATAGGGAATTAGAGTTAGAAGAAGTCTCTACTGGTTTGATTGTCAGATATTCATTACTTGCAGTGACCATATTAGAATCTGATTTCATACTGGAATCATCAAGTTGCTGATCTGTGGATACTGCACTATTCTTCATCCTTTCCCTGACGATAACAATGGGCTGATCTTTGACTAATACAGCTGATGTATTCTCTTTCTCACTGCTACCTGTTTGCTCCAAAATTTCAGGGTTGGGGGACTGAGGGACACAGTCCATGTCCTCGATACTTATGTGTTCTGCACAAATTTCATTGCCTTCAGACAGAACTGAGGTACCGGTAGGTAACCCAACAATAGCAGAGTTCTCCCTCAGATTTCTATCACTTGATTGCAATAAAGTATTGTTTTCCTTATCACATTTAGTCTCACTTTTTGTGTCTTCCTTCTTTCCACTCAGTTGATGAGGAGGCTTTATTGCATAGTCTTCCAAGTCAATTTCATTAGCATCAAACCAGTCCTTGCTTCCAATCTTGTTGGTGTTATCATTTATGTCTTCTCTCAAGCCAAAGTCATTGCATTCATTTTCACTAGAATCTGTTGATTGTGTGACAGAAATGCGAGAGAATTTCTTTTTCATTGTGACTCTGACACTCTTCTCAGGTCTTTCCTCCTCAATATCACTGCTGCTTGAGTTGCCACTGCCACCATGAGCTTTTATCCGTCCATAGCAGGTAAACTTGGAGAAAACTTCATCCAGATTCTTTTTGTTGATCTTCTTGTTTTCTTCCAACTTCTTGCGAAGTACCGAGTCATTTATTGCAGGGTCATTGCTGGCATTATACTCATCTGTGAGGTGGCATCCAAAATTGAAATTAAAATCTCTCTTCCGTCTCTTTTGCAGACTGTTACCTATACACATGAACACTTCGTCACTGATCTCACTGAGAACTTGCCCTGACAGTTTCAAACCATACTTTTTATTTGCTTCTTGTACTACATTACTGATGTCAAACTTATCAGGAAAACGACCTTTCATATTCTTTAAGAACTTTTTGATAGCTTGGTCTATCCCTGCTATGCCTGTGGTTGGGCACTTGACTTCTTTCTCGGTAACCCTTCCTGTGTTGGGGGGTTTGCCCTGTACTCTACAGATCTTGTCCCAGATGCGATTAAATTTGTCTTTCAGACGACATTCTTGAATATACGTACTGTCGTTCATTTCCATTTCATCCAAACTCAGCTCTGCTTGACTTAAAATCTTAATTTTCTCAGCCAGGTTATGAAGCTTCAATTCCAATCTTTTAACAAGCCTCTTTCGTTTTCGAGGGGTAATCATCCGTTTCGATGGACTCGCGATTTCGTTTGGTCTTTTCTTTTCATGAATCCGTCCATTAACAATACCACTTGGAGGACGTTGAACAGAGCTTGTGCTGCTCGTCGAGGGGACAGCAGCCTGTGGATGTTTTTCCTTCTTATCCGACGTGTGATCGTCTGGTCCATCATCTACTATTGTCTGTATCACTCTATTTACGTCTCCTTCCACGCGAGTGAAGTGACTCACGACTTGTCCATTTCCCACGAACTGTACATCATTTGCTTTTTCGTCAACATCCAATTCCACTTTGCTATTATCTACCTTTGAATCTGATAAGAGAAGCTTACAAATATCTCCAGTGTAAATGTAGCCATTTGACTTATTCATTTCTCTCGTTCTCCATTTCAGCGCATTTTTGAATTTCGCGGATGACACGAACTCGGACCGAGCCTCCGTGAACTTCAGCTTCAAGAAAAGCACTACATTGTTTTGCTCCACAAATCGCTCGACTTTGGAAACAAATTCTCCGAAAAGTCCCTCGACGTTTTCATTTTCGTCTTCATCACTAGAGCTGACTATTATCGTCACGTTTTCAGAGGAAATCGGGCCATCCGCCATGTTTAACTCACGCTCGAAAGAAAATGACGTACATGAAGTACTGTCACGCAGGTTGCATGTCGAATGCGCAGAAATCACTCCTTATTAGTTCATAGTGACCAATTAAGGTAATAGTCGTGACCACAGATCTCCAAATATGGAAATAAAAAGATCTGATAATAATAATAATAATAATAATAATAATAAAATCTTTATTACCTTGTCAATGTATTTAGCTCATAGAGCTAATTGGGGACACCTACTTTACTAAATTAATAAAAAAAAACTATGTACAGTATCATAATAGGTAACAATACAGCTGATAAACTATGCATTAAAATTTTAAAATATTTAGAAATATCAACAGTGTTCAGATAACATAAAAATACTTGTACCATGCAGATAATTAAAATGCAAAGATTGCAGCAATTGCCACTGTCTTCCACTAGGCTGACCAGGTCAACTCTACGGATTCTAGTTTTAAAGATACTAAGGCTTGGTAGTTCACGCATACCATTTTCTAATGTGGAAAGGACCAATATATTTGGAAGGACCAAATATATGGTCCTTGATACCTTAGTGTGTGTTTACCATAGCGTATAGTGTTAAATCGTGGTATTTCAAAGTCACTATTCCTAAGGTTATAACGAGTACCCTTTCGAGTAAATATCTCAGATATGTAGCTGGGTACTAGATCGTTCTTTACTTTATACATTTTTGAATTTTTGAATTTTTTGAGTCTTGTAATTGGCCGATTTAAAATCTATGCACTAAAGTTATATGTGCAACGATATTCAAACCAAATTTAATCAAATTATCTCTTTGGAATTTGTCACCTCACTCCACTGTGTACCACCTGCCACACATGCACAGTCGACATGTGCTGTATATAGGTGGGTAAGGGACATGGGATGTCTGTTTTCTTTTGATCACTTGTTAACCCTTTAATTCCCATGATCAAAACAACATTTCTCCTAACAAGATCCAGCCTACAAAGAAAAATATAAATTAGGGAATTTCTAGTTGATCCAAAACCAAATTCTCTGAACAAATATCAAAAGAATTGTATGGCAGACAGTACGGAGAATGTTACTGATAAGATCTTGGGAGTGATAGGATTAAATGAAAAAACATACATATTGCATCTTTTGGCCCAGTTGTAACAGGTGCCCTTCTGTGTATTCAAAAATAAATCCTCCCGGTCTCCCAGTTAGAGCACCAAATCTCCCGGGAAATACCTAACGTGACGTTTTTCAATTTTTTTTCAATAATTCAGTTGTTTTCGAGATGTCAAAAAGGATTTAGTGCTCTTATTTAAGCTGTTCTCGATTGGAAAAAGTAAAACAGAGCAATCAAATTGATATACATTAAACGAGTACTGTAATTGGTCAGAAATCAACCAGTCAAATTGCACAATACATGACGGAAATTTGGCACTGTTAAGGTTGTCACATGCGTTTTACATCCGTCGAATTGAGACATCTCCAGACTTTTGTACTCTGGGGGTTGGCAGATATGCTTACGTTCTTATTCCATGTTGCTGTGTACAACAGTTTTAGACTTAATTGTTACAATTTTGGTGCCCTATGTGATTTATTACAGAACATATGTATACAGCAACAACAACTCGTTTTTAATGCTATATTTTTAACTTTAAGCCCTGTCTACATGACCAATTTTAATATGGCAATTTTTAAGTGGCAATTTTTATTTGCCCGTGTAGATGATGAAAAATGACCAACTTTTATGTGACGATTAACTGCATTTGCTGAAAAGCTGGCACGTTAGTTTTTATGTGGCAAATAAAAATTGTCACATAAAAAAAATTGTCCGTGTAGACGAGACGCCACACAAAATGTGACAAACGTGCCTAAAGCAGAACACGTCTTGTCACATACAGTTGCCACATAAAAATTGCTCATGTAGATGGGGCTTTACAATTGTCATACCAAATATATATACTTTGGTGCTGCATCTGTGGGGGAGTATAACAAGATCATTTACTTTGATTGGCTGAGTTGATTCGGTAGATTGGCTTCTGTAAAGAATTTCTAGAGCTGATATTTCAAGCATTAGTCCTTCATCAGAGCAAATGACAAAGGGCTAACCCTTGAAACATCAGCTTTAGTTACTCTTTACAGAGGCTACTCTGCATTATTGACTCAGTTGATAAAACTAAATTATCTATATATACATATATTTATATATTGTGGGACAAAAAAGACAAATAAACTACAAAACTAAATTATCTATATATACATATATTTATATATTGTGGGAGGAAAAAGACAAATAAACTACAAGTTCATCCCTACAAGCCTGTTTTGTGGTTGCCCACTCATCAGGGGAGGAAAACCAGGAAATAAACTTGTAGTTTATTTGTCTTTTTCCTCCCACAATATATACATCACTCTACTTCTATGTATTGAGCACTGTTTCACGAAAATCAAAGTTTACACTTTACATATATTTATAGATATATTACACTGACAAGCAAGGCAAAATAGAGTGCCTCCAGACTTGATTTTTCAGCTATCTCCTTGTTTTTCTTAATATCAATAAATACTCAACAAAATATCTTGTTCCGGATTCTTCAATGTCAAATGCACAAACAAAGAAACAGACATGCTTTTTCCAAACAGTTGAAAAGTACTTGAAGTGTACACACAGGATGTGTGGTTTTGTTGAAAAATGATAAACAAAAATACAGTGCTCCTACATTTTGTGACCTGTAAATAGTCATTACTGAAAACATGCTATGTATAAATGATTGAATTTCAAGAAATAACAGTCATTAGTAGTTAACCTGTAGGACATCATGTCAGGAGCCACAAGAAATTGTAGGTAGTAATAAAGAGTTCTGGTTTTGTAATGTTACTGTAGAATTGTACAGGAGTTGCACAGTACAGAACTATATAAAAAGATAAAATATGTAAATGAAAAATCCTACATTCTGATCTCACCAGAAACAATTTTAGCATACTTTTCTTCATCCAAGTCTACATATTGCTTTACTTGTGAATCATAATAAAAAAGTTTATCCTTCACTACTCCCACATCAAATCCTTCTTGTCTTAGCTGAGTCTTCTGAAGTTTAAATGTTCCTGTAAGACCTACATCACCAAAAATTATTCGCAGGAATATGGGGCAAGCATAACTAGGTAGTTTTTCTTTTAATCCTTGGACAAGAGAGCTCAAATTGATGCCTTTGTTGAGGGGATCAGCAATGGCAGCCATGCCTGCTCTTCCTTCAATGCCAGGAACTTGGACACCATAAACCACCACATCACGAAGACTCAGTATATTGCTCATTATTGCCTCCACTTCAGCGGTAGAAACATTCTCTCCTCGCCAGCGGAATGTATCTCCGAGGCGATCATGAAAATAAACATAACCATACTCATCCTTGATGAGAAGATCCCCAGTTAGGAAATATGCATCTCCTCTCTTAAAAATGTTGTGGCAGATTTTCTTTGCAGTTTCTTGTTGGTTCAAATATCCATCAAATTTGAGGCCTTTTTCTAAAGTGGGAAGAGCAAATATTCCTGTCATCAAGTAAAACAGTCATTCTAGACAAAACAAATCCATATTCTGTATCTAGCTAGACATACTGGCATAGCAAACAAAAGATGTAGTCTTCTAACTATCTTTTGCTTGGCTGCCTACCTTCTCTTACAGAGTTGAACTGCAGTATCAAAATCAAAATCAAAAAGTAATTTTTGCATGTAATATATTTAATAAAAACATCATTAAAAAGGCAAGGGTAATAAACAAACACATAATTTTAGGGATATATCATTTGATTCTTCACACCAAATTCTTGGAACCAACATTGTAAAAAATGTAAAGCAGATAGTTAGAATTCTTATTGAGACCTAGTTGGAAGCAAACTCTGATTTAAACACACAGAAGATTTTATTTAATGTGAAATCAAATAGACTTTGGAAGTACTAAGGGAAGATAACATGCATGCTTTAAAGCAAAAAGTCAAATAAATGTTTCCTCCCCAGGTAGAAAAAGGCAGCAACACACATAATAAAAGTTCCTGACCTATTCTGCCAGTTGTTGCGAGTACAACACCCACAAACAATGGTTCTATCTTAATACTTTGCTAGTTTTTTTACTTAATAATACATGCAAATTTATACCCATATTTTTTTAAGCAGTCAGTTGTGCAAGATAGAATATCAGAAAATGAAAAACTACCTTTTATGATTTTTCCAACCACAAGTCCAGGTTCCCCAGCATTTGCTTGGATTGCAAGCCCATTCTTATCTCTAAGTACCTCACCAGTTATGGGATCAACTTTGATGAAACAGAATGGAAGAAACTTTGGGAATATAATTGAAACAAAACCACAGGCACATGGGGTATTATCAATGTTGAAAAATGCCACATTTCCTTCAGTTGATCCATAAAACTCTCCAATCTTGCTGATACCAAAGCGAGACTGGAATTCATTCCATATTTGAGGCCTTAATCCATTTCCCAATGCAACCCGTACTGAATGTTGCTTCTCTGATGGGAAATGTGGTTGGGCTAGCAGATAGCGGCACAGCTCTCCAATATACTGGATTGCCTGAGAGAGAAGAGATTATGATTCAAAACACCTTTAAAGAACTACATGAATCATTCTGCAATAAATTTATGGCAATGTCTATATCCTACTCTTACATCAAGCCGTATACTTTGGGAGGTCTCTTTAGGTTGGTTTTCATCCAAAACAATCTTATTGAAGCAGTATGTACATCACACATTCTGCCAAGCCCCTCCCTCTTCTGTGGCTCCCATTTTCTTCCCCTCAAGGTTCCAAACTTAATTGCAAAGGCACCAAAAGGTAATAATTAAACTTTTTTTGTTTCATTCCCCATGCAGGCAGAACATTTTCTTAACCAAAATTGTTAGATTGGAAATTTTTCAGCTCACAACAAATCACAAAAGTGGAGCTTTCCACATATTTCTCTGCTTCAAAGATGTACTCTTACTCTAACTTGCACAATCACCAGCCAAGTGCATAAGAGCACAACAGAAAAATAATAATTTGAAATTTGTTTCTTGGGCACTATGGCTTCAAGTGAGTCACTGGCTGACAACCAACATTGAAATTCTTAGCTACCCAGCTAAATCCAATTGTTTTTTTCCTCCTTGCACATTTACATTATTTTAAATTTCTAGCCACTTACAGTTACTTTGTGCTTAATACAATCCTCCCAAAATTTAGAAGCAGAAAACTTTTTTCTTAACACCAATGTGATTCCTCCTAAAAGACAAGATCCAACACCAATGGCACCTCCTGCAGAGTGATATAATGGTAAAGTACAGTATAAGATGTCTTCAGTTGTGATACTGTACAGAGAGGACACCTTGCTGAATCGGAAGAACCTGAGGAGCCAAAAAGTAAAGTAAGCTTTGACATATCCCTGGACTCATGCATACATCATCATTAGTGTGCACAGAGGGGTTAGGGAACAGCAAAAGTTAATAATTTCCTTAATGCCCCACTAATCACAAGTCCCATAGCTTCCATAAAGCATATCTTTTAGCAAAGGGGTGCTTAATATTCCAAAGCCATTATATCAATTTGCTTTGGCATAGAATAGAGCTTGGAGAAAAGAAAACAGTGAGGGGAGAAAGGATGGGGATCCCTCTTTGCCAGATTGTCATTCTCATTCCTGCCTCCCTGGTATATACTTTTTCTTTTCAAAGCTTTCTTCAATCTCACCAATTCAGTGTTCACAGGCACATAAGCATACAGAAGTATGGGCTTAGTAGAGTGAGGATTCAACAGCATAAGAAAGAGGGAGTTTGAAAGAATTAAAGATGCATTCAGCATTTTGCCACCATAGCTAAATCCATTGTTCTATCACTTCTACCTGAGATGGGTTATCACTGCAGCTTTAGGATATCCAGTAGTTCCTGAAGTGTAGATGTACATCAGCACATCTGTAAGAAATAAGAAATTATACCCAGAAAAAATTGAGAGTGAAAATAGCTGTGTTGGTAGTAGAGATAAAGGGAGAGAATTGGTATTTAGATCTTGAAAATGAACAAACCATAACACCAATGTATCTCTCGCACTGTAACCATCCTCATAAACAAAAATAAATACTTACCTTCAAATGACTGTGTTTCATCAGCAGGTGGTGGTTTTAAGGGACTTCTTTCCATTTCCCGAAGCAAGCTCTTAGCTGAAGCTTCAGAACAGGGAGATGTTCCAAAGTTGTACAGCTCCATATCTTCTGGAAACTGACTGCGAACATCTCTCACAGCATCTGCACAGCAAAAGATAAATGACTTACTCATGAACTGTTACTTAAAGGGCAAGTAATGTTGCCCAAGGATTAAGTCTAACCTTGCTTAAAATTTCTTAAATAAAAGCCCACATAAGACCTAGTATTTGGTAGAATTTTATTATTAGGTTATCATAGAGAAAACTGATAGAAGTAAAATGTAAGCAGTAATCCTTTCTGTCAACCTCTAACACTGAATTAAGAACTCGCACTAAACTCTCATTAGTATAATTGTTTGAAAAAACCCAGAGTAGTCTCACTAGTCTGCCTTCTGCGAGGTTGGAAAGCACTAAGTAAGTTTCCTCTTTTAAAAGATGCTTTTTCTCTTATTATTATTATTATTTTTTTTTCATAGTTTAAGATGCCATGATTCTTATTGCAACGAGCCACGCTCACCCCACCCTCAACCTTGCCCCCTTGCCCCCCAGCTTCCTAAAGCCCTGTCATACAAATACCACTTAACAAAGGAGATGTGCTCTTTTCACCTGATAGATCACTTCCAAAGATTACTGCCCTGGGATCTGCAGCAGACACACAATGCTTCAAAGACTCCAGTCGAAGGTTACTGTTAATGAGGGCAGTTATCACACCAATCTTGGACAAACCCAGCCATATACAAACAAATTCAGGGCAAGAATCTAGAAACAGAGCCACTACATCTCCCTTTTTGTAGCCCTGAGACTTAAAATAATTTCCAATTCTGTTGGAGAAATCTTCAACATCTTGAAACGTCCATGTTGTCTGCTCAAATATGAAGGCTGCTTTCCTTGGATGTTTGGATACCTTTGTTCGAAATATGTCAGCAACAGTCACATTTCCCTTCTTCTGAAGTCTTTTGACTTGAATATTAATCTTCACAGCCAAGTAAACTAACCTGATGGTAAATATTGCTTTTTGTCAGATAAACTAAAACAATGTAGTTTCTGCTTACAGGCCAAGAGTCATTTTAGTCTAAGCCACAGGACTGTAGTGCGGGAGGTGGAGGGTTCGAGCCCCCGCCAGACCAACACTCAAGGTCTTAAAATAATTGAGAAGAATTTGCTACCTTTCCATAACATCAAGAAATGGTTAGATATTCTAGTCTTCTCGGATAGGGACGAATAAATGGAGGTCCCGTCTCCTGCAGGGATGGGGCAGGATGTGATGGATGTCCTCTCATGGGGTGGGATGGGTGGGTTAGGACAGCAGGTCCACATCAGCTATTACAGCTGCCAATTAATCAACCTGCTTAAACAAATAAATGAACTTCAACTTCAACACGTTTGAAGTGAACTCTGAGAAGGGCCCAAAACATATCTACACCCATGAACATTAACTGTGTTACCAATATTATTACTTTGGAGAGCATTGAGAAAATAAAAACCGAAAAAAAATGACAACAAAATAGTCTGAACACGAGCGGGCTAGAATACACTTTAACTAACCAAAATCTCCATTTTAGCCAGCAAAAATATGCCACAATGCCTGGCGTCGCAAAGTGATAGTTTGTAAACAGTAAACCGGAGTTTTTTCACTTTTCGCCACCTCTATGACCGAAAAGATCCTGGAAACAAGTGCGATCGAGTGCACTCCTCGTGGACGGCCGTAACTAAATATAGTTACATTTTAACTTTATTTTGAATAAACTCACCGCGATAATGACATGTGCTCGGTGGCATCAGGTATACGAATCAACCCTTACTAGCCCTTACTAGATTTAGAAGTTTCTCCTCTGCATACCATAGTTTCAGTGAAAGTGTTTCGAAGCATACGACAAACTCCACTAATTCCAAATATAAACAAACAGAATCATGTACAAAGCAAATACTCCAACAGAATTCTTGCCAATACAAGTTAGGTTTTTCCAGATTATTCCTAAAATTTGAATTATGTGTTCCATCACTTAATACTTTACGCAGCTACTCAGACAAGAATAAAACAACCAATTCACTGATGATTTCTAACTTCTGAACGAAAATATTTGTAGTTAAGTTAATATAGTTATTGTTTCTTTGTTTACCAGTGGTCACTTCAGTTTGGTCGGAGTTGTGTTGATGAATGAATTTATTTTCATATGGTGAGAGTCAGTGCATCTTACCTCAGATCACGCAAAATTGTTCGAAAGAACACTCTCGGAAAATACTTTCCTCCTGAGGCGAGAAACGCCCCAAAGAGAAGACATGGAAACAGAAACCAAGGAAGGCGTTTGTAGTAAATTAGGAATGAAATACCAGCTACGATTACCGGCCAAGTGTAAGCCATTTAATCTTTCTCGATAACGCTTCTTGGGCTAAAAGATGAGGAAGACGAGGCCTGATAGCTGGTCAATTTGTTTGGATCCACGATCACCTGTTCGAGGGTAACAGAAGAGTACTAATACGAATGTGTTATGCAAGGTGTGTTGGCATAAGGAATTTACTATTTATACTGTCAATCATTCAAATAGCGAAAGCCATAGTTACCACTCCGCTGGCCCAGAAAAGGTTTTTTAAAGAATGAACCCTCCCGTGTTGTACAACAACAGTGTATCAGAGGCTCTGCAACAACATAGTGTGTAGCGTGCTGCGTGCGGCAAACAAAGGCCACTTACGTCCAAAATCGAGAATCGGCTACTAGTGTCCGAAATCTAGAGAGTGTGGTATTCGATCAACTGAGAATAATTTTATTCTTATCGCATGTCTGCTTGAAATTCTGTTGATATTGTCACTTGTGGGAGTTGAAGGGTAAAAAAAGAATGGCTCGAAACTAAAACTGTGATCAGAAATAAAATCTTTTACCTTCAACTGATTTAATATCCATTGCTTGTCTTCATTCGCGCGCTTCATGTGAATGAAATCAACCTTAGAAAAATTGGGTCTTCGTGCTACCTTCAGATTTATACAGCAAAAAAATTTTTCCTCAGCAATGCGTTAACAGACATTTTTAAAGTTCTCTCCAGTTTTTCGATATCAAAAGATTCTCCTGGTTTTATTTCGGTTTCTGCTCTTATGTTCTGGGAGTAGTTTCAAGATTTAAGATTCAAGATCAAGATATGTAAGATCATGTAAGAGTCTGTATGCAGCGTCGGGTTCTCAACTTGTTTTTGATTTATGATTTTGCCGATGAAAAGATTAACGAGCACCATTAATCCAGTCCCTCCAAATAATATCTTACTTCAGAGTTTTGGATCAAAATAAAATCGAACTGGAAAAAAAAAAAAAGACTTTCCCCAACTGCTTTAAGGGGCTTTTGGCTTCAGGTCATTCATGACTACTTAGCTTCTCTAAACAAAAATTGGTGGAATATTTAACTCACTCGAACTCTTGACGATGTTCTTTAGCGCAGTACAATCAATTTCATTTTATTTTTCAGCTATGACGGAACGTAATCCCCCAACAATAGGAAAGGATCCGGACTTAAACGATGAGCTTCCACAACCTCGTTCCCAGGGCCTTTTCCCTTGGTCGTAAGCGAACAAAAGCACCAGTTGGAATTGCACATATGCGTTATTAAACAAAAAGATATTTTTTGGTAATTTCAGCGTCAAACGAAAGTCAAGTTACTTCAAGTGAGACAAAACTTGGTGTAGACGATGACCCTTTAAGAGATGAGAAATTAGATTCTTTGAAATACGCCCCCAGGTATTATTTTTAAAGTCTCCAGTTATAGATGGATAATTTTCACATGTCCTGATTTATCTCAAATTATTGATCAACTTTTCGGAATAGGAAGTTCGTGGAAGCTCACAATCCATTGTCTGAAACGCAAAGCACAGAGGTCAAACGTCTGCACATGCACTAATATTGTAAAACTGACTAGGCGAGGTGCATACAAGCTATCACAACCAAGTTGTCTCGCACGGGTGAAAAACAACTCTAAAAGACAGTCAGTCACGTATGGTATTTCAAAACCGTATAACCATATTGGTAGACCTCAAAATAGAAAGGTAAATCAACAGGAAACAAAAATTCATAAGTTTTCCCTTTCTCTACTTTTGTTTCCTTTCCCAGATTTACAGATGAATGTTTCAATTTTCTCTTTCTAATTTTGAAAGACAGCGATCGTGTTTCTCATTCTTGCGCGGGAAACTGGCGCGCAGCAGGTCAGGATTGATCCTCTTGCGCAGACCTGAAGGTTGACTGCTGTTTGTCCTCGCATCCGTGTTT